GCTGCACCTGGATTGGTCCATTTGGGCCAGGTGAATTCAATTCAGCCAATGGGGTCGACCAGGATCATTGACCACGCCTCCCAGCGGAGACCCTGAAAAGCCAGAATCAAGAGCCTTGTGGCCCTTCAGCTTCTCAAGCTGCTCCTCCGGCCTCAGGGTTCCACGTGCGGGTGTGAAGGGCCCTGAGGGTGCCTTGTAAACCTGAAATTTCTTCTACCTTTCATAATATTCACTCAGATCACGATCCAGGCTTCAGGGTGAATTCTTTCTCACGAGAAGCCAAGGACCGAGGTATTTCTCCCAGGAGAGGGACCTAACAGTTACTACAGTATTTTCAATCGCCTCATATGCTCGTTTAAGGACATTGGTTAAGGAAAACCAAATTTGATGCAGTTTGTCCGGACCATGCAGCTGCTTCCCCCAGCTCTCCTGAAAGATAGCCTGCTGGACTGTGTAGCCCCTTCCCTGGGCTCTCAAGGCCAGAGCTGTGCCTGCCTCCAGCGTTCCAAGGAGCTTATCTGTCAGGACAGGGTCTGTACAGCCCCTTCCCTCAGCTTTCCAGGACGATTCGCTCACAGACCACACCCTGACTCAGACCCTCAACTGCAGCACCAGAAGGCCTTCCTTTCCCTTATCAGCACATACGTCCTTGGCTCAAGCCCTGTATATGTCCCACTGCTTCACTGCCAGACGCGATTTCCCTGACCTAACTCGCTGGGTCTCGGAACCCGCCCCGGGGTTCAAGATGCCCCCGTCCCTTTCTCTGCGCTCCCTTCCCTCCCGGGGAGTTCTTTCCCTGCCTCAATAAAGCCTTTGTCAACTTCGCATTCCTGGCTAAATTCTGTCTCTGTTCCCGGCCTGTCTCCAGCCTCTCATCTTGGTACTGAAAGAACCGGGACCGACAGGAGGGGCCTCTGTGCTGCCCCACCCTTCCTCTGGGCAGGTGCGCAGCCCCAGCCTCGTCTCCAGCCTCTCACATTTGAAATACGGTTCTGGTGATGATTATTGAAAATATTGAAACCGAAAGGACTCTCGGTGCCAATTCATAGCAACCCTATAGGGTAGGGTAGAACTACCTCCCTGAGTTTCAGAGACTGTTAGCCTGAGTCGCAAGCCAAGTCTGTCTCCCACAAAGCAGCTGGTGGCTTAGAACTGCTGGCCTTGGTGATTGCAGCACCACCAACAATCCTTATGCCACCAGCGACTGACTGCAACAACAACAAACCTATATTGGAAGAA